CTGAAATCAGTGCTGATAAGCGCACTACCTGCTCTATTAATTGATGCGCTCGCATGTGTCGATTGCTCAGTTCCAGCCGCGGGCACGTTTAGCGCCGCACGGTTGCCAGACGACCTGGCCTGAGACGGCAATGAAGCTTGCTGCTCGGCCTGGGCCGACCTACTGTGCATCGCTTCTCTTTCGACCCTAAAAACTGCATTCGCACCATCCGTGATGCCCTGTCTAACCTCGCGCCTATAAATCCAACGCGGAACAGCAGTTAAAGCTCCCCAGATTTGGCTTAGCGCCCCAGTACTACATTCACCCCGATCTCTGGCTTCTTGCTCGCGAGCGCGTCCGGTCGCGCTAACCGACGGTAGGCATGTCGCCGGTGGCAACGCGTTCTCGCTTCCTGCTTTCTCGCGCGCGTTAATTCAGTCGCCAAGGGCGTCACAGCCGTCGCGAGCTCATCGCCAAGATCTGCGCTCTGCGCCCTGTCCGCCGCTGTTTCTTGCTGCTCGTCGCATGACAAGTCTGGGATTCGGCCCGATGCGAAATCATTAGAATGCAACGGCGGCCGCAAATCTGGTCGTTTTTTCACCAACATAAATCGAAATACCGGTCCCGTAACTCTTCTAAATCGCCGCACAAAGTCAATCCGCGATAGCGCATCAACTCTAACAGAACGGCCTGCTCTGTTGAGTCAATTTTACGTTTTAATCTTTTCGCGTGCACATCGCGTAATATTCTGCATAAGACGATTCTGTCTCTACACGCTAATGACATTTTGCGTCTAAAAAAAAAAAAATTAAAATTTTTTTTTTAAGAGACTGAAATACGAGCTACAAGAACGAACGTGTCTCAACCACGATCTATGTAATTCGACACTACTGCCAAATAATAAGACCGATTCTTTCTAGGCTCTGAGCCGGCGAGGAATCGCCTTGCATAAGCCAAAGAAAAAAACCGTAAATATATACATGTGTCCACTTACTGGAAAATATTACAAAACAAAATAAAACAGCAAGGCAAAGTTTTACTTTCTAAGAAATAGGAAACTTAAAATGTGTCGAACTCTAGCGCTCGAACGGCTCAATGACGCACGCGCGGCTACCCGACTCCCCGATAAGAAAAGGTCGCCGGTAGCCCAAAACAAAACAATCCGAGAGAACAACGAACAAATTCCTTCTAAAAAAAAGTTCATAGCACGCGCGTTTTGCCCTTAGCTAACAAATTATTTTTCCCTTCTTAAAAAAAAAAACCATTACCGCTTGACCATTTCTCTCTATTATTACCCGATTGTTAATCTCCCCACAAGGGATGCCATGTAACGGGGGCAGCGCCTTATTCGGCACTGACATCACCAATTTATTAAGGGGAGAGTAAGAGAGGCACTTTCGCTCTTTAACAATCGGGGAACAAGAGCATAAGTCGAATGAATAAATAATTTTCCTTAATTAGAACATACAACTTAAATCTATTCAGACAAACAAATACAAAATCGGTTATAATAAAGTTTGCATGTCTCTCTCTGTCTCTCTCTACCTCATAGTCGCTGCGCTCTTGCTTCTTCGGGCGCTCTCAACCTTGCTCGGCAATCTTCGGCGGCTGGAAAAACATAAAGGCCAGTGGTTAGGCGCAATAAATATATGCGCCGAACGCTGACCACGTCGCCATGCCGAGCCATAAGAGGGAGAGAGAGAAGGAGGGCAGACGAGGAGCAAGCGTACTGCTTGCTCTCGTCACAAGTAGGTTCAAATAATATACAATAGTACAAAATTCTAATTTCTAATTTAATTAGTTTTTTTTTTTTAATTACAGAAATATTTTAGATATCGAAACTGAAATGAGATGTCCGCGATTGGAAGATTTAAGTCTTAAATTTAAATCATCATGCATATATCATAGTCAAATCGCGAGAATATAGTATGTGCTGCGGTAAATACACATAAGATACACGATTGGATGATGGAAAGACAAAAACAAGCAAAATCAAAAGGGATCGATACAGTCGAAAGATTTATAGATGACTATAATTCATATAAAAATTCAATTGAATATTTAAAAGTAGCTATGTCAGACACTGAACATAAAGATTATAGACAAAGTGTACTCTACTCAATGTATAATTAAAAATAATAAATATTAAATAAATAATAAAATGTGTACTTATTTAAATAATAAAATAATCATAACGATTGCAAGAAAGAGCGAACGGATGGGAATAAGGTTCTCTCCTAGCAGAGATGTTTAGGAGGAACATCTCCAGGTTGTCAGTCGAGCGACTGCATTCGTAGTCTCTAGCATTCTCACGAAAACAGCTATGGTATTAAGTGAAGTTCCCTTCATGGAGAGAGCACGCATTGACTATAGATAGGATACGCTCCCCTCAGCGCACTGTGGGCCACGCTTAGCTAGAGCGTAGGAGTGAGTGAGAGAGAGAGAGAGAGAGCACGCATCCTCAAGTTAGAACTATAGACAGCATGCGCTCCTTCTATTCGTTTCATTTTCAATGTGGCAAGTAAATTGTCAATAATATATATTTATAACTTTTTAAAAAATATCCAACATCAGATCATATGTAAAGACAGTTTCATGCGTCAGATCTTTCATGAGAATAGAATACGAGTTATTTTTATATATTTTTTACGTCGGATCTAGCATGAGAACAGGTTCAAACATAAGAAATACGAGGCGAAAACATCCTACGGGATTTAGCTATGTTTCTTATATTAGAACTAATGTAAGAATTTTTAGTAGGGTGTTAGCTCATCCAATCCAAGCACCAGCCTCCACATCACCACTATGGCCTCAGAAGTATCACAAGAAGTAACATTGAAGCAACTCATTGACGGTAAATGATAACTAAGGCCGACAAAATTTGACGAAATCCAGACCCAGAGACCAGATCTAGTATAATCGAAGGAATTTTATGCGCTGAATCCGAATCTGGCCTCAGAATTAATCCATCACCCTTAGTTTCTAAGATATCCTAACCTAAAAGTGCAAAAAAGGCTGTTTTTCGCTGTTTTTGAACTCTTCTCACATCGCTAATTTCCATTTTAGTCAAAAACTGAAAAAAGCATTCAAAAAGGCAAGCTGTTTACTTTCAAATACGCTACCTAATTTGTTCAATTGAAATTTTTAAAGCGGAGATATCGTTCTTTGAAATAAAAAAAAGTGTAGGATTCTTGGAGTTTGACTTGGGGGTTAGACTGTCATGGGTGTAAGGAATCTATAGTTCTTGAGGTTTGGGTTTGACGTTAACCTGTCGGAATGTAAAGAATTCATATTATTTGTGACTTTGAATGTTCACAATTCTTGTTTCATGTATGTTTTACGTTATTGGATAACTCAGCAATTGGGGTTCATGACTTAACGCCAAAGACATTTTGAATTTATCAATTGTTTAAGATTGTAGGTGTTGTCTGAGTAGATTGCATTATTAACTAGAATTTGCAGATTATATATGAATTATTAATCTACTTTTACACACCTCAGATCATTTTTCATGTAGTTTATAGTACCATGAAAAATTCAAATTTTCTTTATTTCAAAGAACGATATCTCCGCTTCAAAAATTTTAATTGAAAAAATTAGGCTATGTTTTTGGAAGTAGACAACTTGCCATTTCCAATGCTTTTTCCAGTTTTTGACTACAATGGAAATTAGCAACGTGAAAAAGAGTTCAAAAACAACGAAAAACAGTCTCTTTTGCACTTTTAGGTTAGGATATTTCAGAAATTGAGGGTGCTAGATTAATTCTGAGGCCAGATTCAGATTCAGCGCATCAAATTCCTTAGATTACACTATGTCTGGTCTCTGGGTCTAAAAACTGTCGGCCTGTGTAATCATAAGGGTTCTTTTCGAAAAAATTATTCAACGACATATACTGAGAGAACATCGATTAATGCAGCTACGTCCTAGTATCTTGTATTCTAGAACTTCAGCACTAAAGGGCATACGCGACAATCTCCGCTAAAATATGATTGCTAGGATATTCCGCAAGTACCTAAATGGTTGCCGTTACGTTATCGGATTCGAAATTCGGAAATGTACTGGCTACCTTGTTGAAACGATCTGAGTACATATCCAAATGTGATTAATAAGTAAAATATTTTTTATTTTAACAAATTCATGTATATATTTATACATAGATAGATATTTATAGTATCGAGCATAATTGTTATTATTTCACTTCTTCATATTTCTTAATATAACATATAGTTTGGAAACTGTATACATACTAACCATATTATATTTCTGCCACAATGAGAGATACCGCCATATATTGCATAAATTGATCGGGAACCTTATAAGAATGTTCCAAGAATGACGTTAATTTTGAATGAATATTATTTTCATAATTAATTTTTTAAGTCATACCAGCAAGGTACCCAACACATTACCAAAATTCAAATCCGGTAATGTACCAGCAAACCATGTAGACAATTATTACGGAATATTTTAACAATACGTTTGTTAGTTTAGTATCTTTCGTATCAAAATTCCAGAAAACAAGTTAACTGTACATAGTTACTATGTACACTTTATCTGGATGTTATCATAATCAATATCATTATAATCACATTCAATATAAAAATTATTCGAAGTTATGAAAATAATAAGTCAAATATTAAGATCATTAACAAATATCAAAGACCTAAATTTAACTTTACTTTTTTGTAATACCCATATAAGAGCTATATACCATAACACACCACATTATATTTTAAATATTTTATATATTTAATATAAAATATTATATATTAAAGTCAGATCAATAATGGATGATTCTTTATTTATAAATTTTTTTTAAGAATCTATCTGTAGTCCAAATTTTAAGGTTTGGCTGCTCAAGCTAAGCAAGAGAATTTTTATTCAATGATAATTATCATTAATAATAGAAAAAGCTAAATATTGTAATTACATTGTTAAATCTGATATACCGTGGACATTAGCTAATTTGTAAAATCTAAAACATTTAGTTGATAATTTGATGACTTATAGATGATACTTACGAGTCACCACATTGTTGACAAAAATACTTATCAATTGTATCATTTTCTTGCTTCAACAATAATGGCATGTCTGGAGCCTTATATGGTTTATCAAAGTGAATAAATAGTGCTTCTTGCAATATAGTACCATATTCCAAATGATGTTTTGATAAATTAGTGTTATTGATTAATCTTATTGGTGAAAACATTTTTAACTATACTATTTGATTAATTTTTACACCAATTTACCACTGAAAAATATATATTGCTTAATAATATATGTACTATGTGTATGTATGTATGTGTATGGAAAAAAGAGAATAGCTAAGAGTATATTACATAAGTCATAATTGACAAGTTATTTTAAAAATAGACTCTTGCCGTTAACATTTTAATTATAACAAATTATAGATAAAAATATTCTATTTTGATTACAAAGTTTTACATAACAGCAGATCAACTTGCATTATATTGATTTAAAACAATCAATTAACTTTGAATCTTTTACACAAATAAGCAATAATTAGAATAATCAATATTTCAAGGCTTAGGTTTAGTTATGAAATTTAAACTTTATTTGAAACTAAAGCAAAAAAAAAGATACTGATGAAAAGATTGGTTAAAATATATATAATGATGAAAAACACTTGTTTTAACATAAGCAACATCAACTATGTAATAAGTTTTTCAATTGAAAATTGTTGAAATCCAAAACAAATTTTTACTTTTACATAAAATTATCTTATAAAAATTGTATATATAAAATTAAGAATATAGGTTAAAATAAATATATAATAATTTTTAATTGAAAAATATATTTTAACTACGGTGAAAACAATTTTAGTAAATAAAAATGACAAAAAATTAGTCCCAAAGGCTTTAGATTATCCATAAATTAAGTCTGTAAGAACATAAATTAAGAAATTACCATTTTCTTTAAAGTTTTGAGTTTATTACAAAAGAATCTTTTCCTGTTCTTAAATGAAATATTATTTACTATATCATATAGTTACTAAATAATAAAATATTTATATTGCTGAAATGACTTCGAAGTGTTTTATAAAATACAAATACTTAAAAAACTGTCTTCCCTTTTCAGTTAGAGTAAATATTATACCAACATATTTTTAGATATAAACATATCAAAGATATAAATGACTTTATTTATATGTATATGCATTGATCAAACATTGTGCTACCTGTAATAACCTTATAATTTCCTCAGACCCACACACCAGTACCACCCTTGCCTCAGCCGGCAAAGTGTAATGGACAGTGAAAATAAAAAATATCATACAAAATATCTCTAATTGAACCCTCCAAAAATGCTCATTATTTTAATTGAATCCCTTCAATTGTCCCAAAAAAAATTAAAAACTTTCCAAATAGATTATTGGGTTATTAGGTTATTGGAAAGAACATACAGTAAAATTAGATTGTTGATTTTAATATATATATTAATGATTTTGAAAAAGTAAGAGGGGTGCAATTAAAACGAGCAAGGGCTCAATTTTTTTGCCTTGTTTCTTTGCAAAAATATTAAGTATTGTAACAGGCTGTCGTTTAGTCGATAATCTCCAGAAAGTGCCCTTATTTCAACTAGACGAAGCCTTGTTATCTATATGCTCAAAGCACAATAACCTACCTTGCCTCGGAGTGCGCCTGCGCAGAGTCTCTTCGCTGTTCCGAGTTGGGTTCCCCCAACTCGCCGCTTGGCGGCGCTGTCGCTCTTACTAGTAGCGCTCGTGCGGCCGCCACCGGAACCTAAGTCATCGACTCTCGTCTATCGATAATCGCTCGATTCGTGCTTCGCAACCGGCGAATTCGAATCCCCTGAAAATAAACACTGGCGCGACCTCCGGACAAAGGAAAACACAATAACGGAAACTCGTTTAAATAGAAACCAAGGGATGATTTATTTAATAAAACCAATTACACGGGGAATCTGCCGAGAGTCTAACGCACGCACGCGTGAATGACAACACACGCTGATCGAGAGAGAGAAAAAATATACCGCGATTCCCGCGAACTACCTGCTCGCACGCAACAGTAAATTCTTCGCGCTCGCTGCGCGGATTCGCACGCAAATCGTAACAACAATTAAAAAGGGGAAGGTGCACCTACCGCAAGGACGATGTTGATACGGTGGCCAACCGTATCCGGACGACGAATCGTTGGAACGCCGCTACGCTGCTCGCTGCACCGCCTCGAATGCTGTTATTGCTGTTGCTGCTGTCGCCACTGATGTTGCTGCTGTTGATGCTGCTGCTGTTGCTGCTATCGCAGTTGCTGCTACTGCTATTGCTGCTGCTGCTGCTGCACACCCACGCAAGTTCGCAATCTCACCAGGAACAAAACCACGCGCGTAACTTGAACGGCTCGAAGATAGGTTAGGCGCACGAACTGACTGAGTGGCACAGTCATACTACCGGTCGGAGCCTCCCCTCCCGGTCATTGCCCCTACGCTCTCTCTCTCTCGCGCGAACCAAGCGCGGCTACTCTCGTTTAGCCGCTCATTACCTCGCGCGAGTCTACGATTTCCGATAATCGTTGCAGCCCCCTCCTAGCTTCGAACTACCGGATCGAACTACCCCATTGACTCGCGACCCCAAGGACAGGATTGGGAAAGGAGAGAAATCAGCACAATCCATCCTCTATGAAACACAGCTTTATTTGCCCATCCCGGGCCACCACTCCCCCCACGTCACCTGCCGGAGCCCCCTGGCGCCTTGTGCCTGGGGTAGCGCCAGTGCTCCGACTTGTTGGGGCACTTGGACGTGGTCATGATCCCGGGATGGCCGCAGATGTAGCAGCCCCTGCCCGGTCGTCTGATGAGGCCGGGCTCCGCCCCATGGCCCTGGCTTCCTGATGGTTGTTGGGGCGGCGCGGCTGCTGCTGCCGGGGCGGCGATAAATGTGACGCCGCCCACCGTGGCGGATGTGCGTCCCCCCATGGTACGCACCACCACGGTAGGGTCGGAAACCGACCCGTCCACGCGGACCATGAACTCCTGTCCGGCGCCGGGGGCCCCCGAGACTCTCTTGGGTTGAGTCTTGGTCGGGGGCTTGGTCGGAGTCCTGGCCGCGTCCCTACTTGTCGGGGCCGCCGGTGGCAACACTGCCGGCGGGCCCGCGGCCTCTGGGGACTCCAGCCCCCGGTCAACGCGCAGGAGGGCCTCACCGTAGGCCCTCTGCCGCCGGACTACCGGAGCCCACTCCCCCAGCATTTCCTGTTCGCCGCGGAAGTCGAGGAACTCCCCCAGGTGTGCGTGTACCTGGCGCTGGAGTTCCCCGACGAATTCCCAAGCGTTCTCGAGCTCCTGGAGGCCCAACCTCACGTGCCTCCAGGAGTTTTCGAGGCCTACCTGCTGGGGTACTCGTGGGTGGTTAAAGACCCACTGCCCTTGGCCACAGGCCTCCTTTGGCCTGGGGCACTGGGTGGAGCCGTAAGCCGTCGCCGGCTTGTTCGGCTCTGGGGTCTGCACCCCCTGGTCCGTCGTGGACTGAGACCGACGGCCCTCTTCGGATGGACCGTCGGTCTGGGTGGACGCTTCCCGGGTCACGGGCTTAGAGGTTTGGGCCCTCATCCCTTCCCGAAGGAAGTCGTCCACCCGCTGGCGCGATCGGCCCTCGCGAGCGGCCACCTCGACCTGGGCCCGGACGAACCTTCGAAGGTCGCCGATCAGCCGATCGGCGCCCGGACCCAATCCCAGGTCGAGCAGCAGCTGGGTGGCCGTCTCGAGGGCCTCTTCACTGATGACCAGCTTCCTCTCCATCTGTAAAAGAGAAGAAGTGGGGTCAAGGGATTTCTCAGGCTCAGCCCTTAACCTACCCGTCGCCGTGTGACGCTCGACGTTATTGTTTACGAGGACGTCCCGGTCCCCGACGCTTTCCTCGCGAACATGGCCCATTTGCGGGGGTAGCTGGCAGTACCACCTTCCGCACGTGCTGAGCGGTTCTACGTGGTCTGCCCCTTCCCCTTACCGCATTGCCATCCAGGTCGTCTCCACCTGGTTCCCGAGGTTCGCACGTGGGGTTCTTGCGCGGCCTACCTCGGCCTCGCTTAGCCGGCGCCTCGATCGGTACCTCAGGAGCCGCCGCGGGTTTCTCACGCTCGTTCGCGGGGGCTGCATTCGCGACGCGCCCGCATATCGGATCCTCGCTGGATTCCTCGATCTTCGCTGGCGGGTCGCCTACGCACTCCTCTTCCTCCAACGGTGCTGAGTCCCCGCCTCCTGGTTCCACGATGTCCTCATCTGAGAATGGACCGAAATAGGGCTTGAGGTCCTTGGCGTGAATCAGCTCGGGCAACTCTTCCTGCTGGTTACCTAGGCGATAGGTATTCGTCCCACATACCTCCTGAATTACGTAGGGACCAGCATACTTCGGCGCCAACTTCGCCGAAACGCCCTGAGCTGCGGATGACAAGATGCGGTTCCGCTTCCACACCCAGTCCCCAACCCTAAAGTCGGCCTGACGTCTCCTCCGGTTGTAGTAGACCGCCTGACGGGCCGCCTCCTCCCTGGACTTAGAGCCAGCACGTTCCCACAAATTGGGTAACTGGCGCATGTGGTCACCCCATTCGGTCAGTTCTTGGCCCTCGGAGGCTTCCCGGGCCAACTGATCCTGGGCCCTCCTAAAGGTCGAGGGGGGAGTGGGCTGTCTGCCGAAGACTAGCATGGCCGGGCTGTAACCTGTCGCGCTGTGAGTTGCCGAGTTCAACGCGAAGTTGAACTCTGGCAGGTGCTCGTCCCAGCTCTTATGGTCCCGTTCCACGTACGATATGAGCATGGCCTTGAGGGTTTTGTTCACTCGCTCTGTGGGGTTTGCCTGTGGGTGGTAAACTGGGGTAAGGGCGCGCCGGATGCCGTTCCTCGACAGGTAGGCATCGACCTCTTGGTTTTTAAATTCGGTCCCGTTGTCCGAAAGAAAAATCTCTGGCACCCCAAACCTGGTTACCACCCTCTCGTGCAATTCCCGTACGATGGTCCTTCCGTTGGCCTTACGTACGGGTACGCACTCCACCCACCGAGTGAACAGGTCTAAAAAGACCAAAATGTACTCGAACCCTCTCGAGCTCTTCGGGAAGGGGCCAGTAATGTCACTGGCCACCACCTGCCAGGGTCGCGAGACCTCTCGACGACCCATCAGCCCGCAAGGCGGCCTTTGCTCCGCCTTGCATTGCTGACATACCGGGCAACTCCTCACGTACTCTCTGACCTGATCATACATCTTTGGCCAGAAATACAGGTGCCTAGCCCGGGAGAACGTTCGTTCTCTCCCCTGGTGTCCCACTGCTGGCGCATCGTGCACCTCCTCAAGTACTTGATGCCTCTTCTCGGCAGGAACCACTAGCTTCCAGGCTTCCTCGTTGTCGATGGACCCTTCGCTCTCCTCAGCCGGATTGTAGTGATACAATCTCCCTCCGACTACCTTCCAGGTAGGTTGAGAATGTGGATCCTGGCATACTTCTCTATACTTCTGAAGGTACCAGGCATCGGCAGTTTCCGGCTGATGAGTCATGGCACCCACTTCTACCACCCCCTCCTCATAGGCCCTAGATAAAGCGTCTGGCACCACGTTGAGGTCTCCTTTTCGATACTCTATATCGAACACATGGCCTTGTAGTGCTAACGCCCAACGCGCTAGCCTTCCTGTAGGATTCCTCATACTGTGGAGCCACTTAAGGCAACTATGATCGGTGATAACTTTGAAGTGGTGCCCCTCAACATAAGGCCGGAACTTCCCGATAGCCCATACTACTGCCAGGCACTCTCGTTCGGAGACCGTATAATTCCTTTCCGCACTGTTTAAGGAGCGACTGGCGTACTCAATTACGCGCTCCAGTCCATCGACTTCTTGCGTCAATACCGCGCCTATCCCGCTATCGCTCGCGTCCGTTTGTAACACGAACTGCGCGTTGGGGTCTGGCGACTGCAAGATCGGTGCCGAGACCATTGCGTCTCGTAACCGTTCGAAAGCCTGCTCCTGTTCCTGCTGCCACGCAAACGGGATGCTCTTCTTCGTCAGGCGGTTTATCGGCTCAGCGATGGTTGCGAAGTCGGGTATGAAGCGACGATACCACGACATCATCCCCATGAATCGCTTCACCTGTCTGATCGTCCGTGGTACTGGGTACTCCATGATGGGCTTGATCTTCTCTGGATCTGGCCTTACCCCTTCA